AGAGCTCCCCAGGGTTGGAAACTTTAAGGCTTTCCTTCCCCTTGCTCTGCTGTTGCTCAGTCGATCCCAGAAGCACTGGAGGAGTCCTGCGTGTGATTTGCCATGGGTTGGGTGCTTAAAGATTGGAGCCATAAGAAACTTTGGGGGATTTCATGGGAACTTAGCAGGAGGACTATCCATTTTTTGTCACCGATGGCCCAATCCTACAAATGCCTGTTCATATGGGGGTCTCATCCTGCTCCCATTCACGTCCATGCCAGCATGCCATGAAACAGGATAAACTCAGATGAACAGGCTGGTTGGCTTGCAAGTAGCTGTGCTGGGCGACGTGGGTCCTTTGAGGCTCACGCCATGCCAACCCATCCCTCTTTTGCTCAACTGCCTGCCATGAACTATGGAAACATTTTTGCTCTCTGTATTTTTTGAAGTTTTCTTCCTTAAGAAGCATAAGATGCTTCAGGAATGACATAGGCCTTAAGGAAATCACCTGCGATCCTGAGAATTGGAATAAAATTGCAGGAGCTAGTAAGACAATAGGATGAGAAATCTGGAGGCTTCATGCAACTGAACCACCACCCTAATACGTCTGATGGATATGCATGCACTTATTTCCATCAAATACTTCTTTTGCACCCTATCCAGTTACAACCAGCACCCCCTTCTATGCAACTGAACCACCACCCTAATACGTCTGATGGATATGCATGCACTTATTTCCATCAAATACTTCTTTGTGCACCCTATCCAGTTACAACCAGTGCCCCCTTCTGTCCTCTTTACCTTCTCACAGCTTCCTATTCTACCTCCTGATATCCTTGAGTTTCTTTGCCTCCTCTAGGGCAGTGCTGTGCCCAAGCTTGGAGACAGGAAGGGTGCCAGAAGATCTCCTTCTACTGCCTCTTCATGGGCAGGCTGCCCGCAGCAGAGACACAGGCGGGATAGTCTGCTTGGGAAAAGCTGGTCCTCTCCATCATACTTCTTGCACTGCCCTGCAGAGCTAGATCTGTTGCAAGGCATTTTAGATTGAGCTATGAGGATGCGGGCTGCAGCAGATTTTCTCTGAACTCAGCATCAGACATATCTGCTGCCTCAGTTTCCCTACTCACATGCAAGCCAGCAGGCTGACTGAAAGGGCTGTGTGTGACTTTTGCTAACCCAGCTGATCCATGCAGTCTCCTATTGCATCTGTTGTGCCTCCTACTGAAACCTGAACACTGCTTCAGTCTGGACCAGAGTTAGTGGGGTCAGGTGAGGGCTCCTCCTGTTGTGAGTTTGCTGAGGGGAAGGTGAGCTGGAATGATCATAGTTCATTTGTATTTTAACGAGCACACAGGTGGCAGGGAGTGAAGGAAAATGCAGGGGGTGACAGAGTGGGAATAGCAATACATGCTTTTAAAATGCAGTTTGGTGACTGGAGAACTGTCAGGTCAAACTTGGGATAAATGCACCATCTTTAAGGCAGCAGCCATCAACCCTCCCCCAACAGCACATGGACTGAGCTATCTTTAACCCCCAAGGATTGTCTCGGCTGAGCCACAGACATAGGGTCTGGGGCAGTTCTCCCTGACCAAGGCATCAGCCTCTCTGCCTCAGTTTCCTCATTCAGGTATAAGTCTGCCGACCAACTCGCTGGTCCTTATATTGGGCATATCTACACATGTACTTTCATGGGCATTAGCCTATTTTAATGTGCATTAAAGCATCACACAAAAAAAAGTGCACATTCACTAATGCACATTAAAATAGACTAATGTGCCTTGATCTAGCACCTCACAATGGAGTTATTGAATTTAATGCACGTTAGCAAGAGTGCATAAATGAATGTGTAGACATGCTCATTTGAGGCGAAAAACAGAGTTCAGGTTTAATCCAGGGCTGATCTGACTTGCATTAAAGCAGGTTTGGGACAGTCATTTACAAAGGCAGCTTTAATGGCAATGAATTTGAATTAGCTGAGATTGTGGGGGAGTGGTGGGGGTGGAGGGGGAATGCTGATTCAGATATTTCACAAGTACTTAGTGTGGGAGAATAGACTTGGTCTAACATTTGGTTTGAGCCTGAGGGAGATCCCTGTAGTGTTGGCATTTCACTCCTATTCCCCAAATGATGCATTTATCCACAACGGTAATCCCACTTCTCCTGGACTGCCCTGAGGCCTTTGCATCAGCTGTGACCTGCTGCATAAATCTCCTCCATGTAATTTTATGCTTGTGGTTGCATGGTACCAGGGTTTTCCCTCACCCAGAGTCGCCTGCAACTCCCAAGCTAGGACTTTCCAACTGAGTTACTGAGTCCCATACAACTCTCTTTAAAGACATATCCTATTCTAGGACACAGCTGTTCCCCTATATGGGTTCCTTCAAGTAGATCCGTGAAAAGCCATGAAATCCCTAGGTCCATAATAGTAGTGCAAGACTGATGTTATAGCCCTAATGGTGCAGAAAGAAATCCTTGCTTCTAGGCTTATTATTAGGGTCCATATAACCCAGTTTAACCAGGACAGTCCTGGATTTCAGAGGCTAGGCCACTGAGAATTATAATGGCCATCCCATAAAATGCAGGGGCACGGGGTGCAGTCTGGCCAGGAATCGGAGCGGCGCAGAGCTGCCCAGCATGCCACCCCACTCCATCCCCATTGACTGGTGAGAGCATGGGGGGAAGGGAGGGGAAGCAATGTCCTGGATTTCCTTATAGACAGCCTACCTATAATGCCACTTAGCAGTAGGATCACCCCCTCCAAGTGGCAAAACACGGGATAACATATTAGCAGCACCATCTCCCGATGCTTTCATATACCCAAGGATTCAATTTTCCTTCCACTCTGAGGTCCTGTAGAGATGTGATGGGTGACCAACCTGCACCATGGGTGTCACAAGTGGCATAGGCAGCTTGTGTGTGTGGCACATGGCAGATCAGGGAGGGGACAGGTAGCACAGCAGCAGATAGTGCAGGGAGCAGAAAGAAAAGCAGCAGATCTGGTAGGAGAGCACAGAGCAGAAAGCAGAGCAACAGATCGGGCAGGGGAGGGGGATCAGAAGGGCAACTGAAGAGGGCATGGGATGCCTGCCAACCAGGTTGCCCTCCCCCACTAAAGCATCAACCTTATTCATTTTCTTTAAATCCTTGCTGCTCACGCTTACCGTAATCCAGCTTTGCTTGGCTTTTCCAATGATGCACAATGGAGAAAAGTAAACCCCGCCTCTTTTGGAAGCAAAGCATATGAACATTAAAAAAAAATAAATAAATAAAAAGGTTTGAAGGGCTCACAAACCAATGGGCATTTGATGCCTTTATTGGAAATTCCAGCAAATGGTCCTGGCAAACCTGAGTTTAGGAAAATACAAGAGTACAGGAAGCTGCATCAGGCTACATCCTTCTGTAAACCAGCCTCTGAGTCGCTGGAAAGCACTGGCACATCCCACCAACTGCAAAGACAATAGCAGTGCTGGTTTGGCATCCCCCCCTGTGAAAAAATATGGAAACTAGACAGAAGAGTGAAGGCCCTGGCAAAGCCATGTTTTCAGAAGGCCGCCAAGAGCCAGCGGTATTTGGCACATGCCCCTTCAAAAAAAACAAAAAAAAGAAAAGAAAAGAAAAAGTATATATGTGTGTGTGTGTATATATATATATATACACGCACACATACATATATATATGTATGTGTGCGTGTATATATATATATATACACGCACACATACATACATATATGTATTTTTTTTTGAAGAAGGAGAAAATGATTTGATTTTTTTTCCCCCGCATCATTTAAAAAAAAAAAGAAGCAAAGAACAAATTGTTACTGCTCCTCCTGGAAACAGAGCGACAGGAAGGCTATGAATGGATGAATAGTAATAACAACAGACTACCAGGCGTATTATAAGTGGATGTGGCAATTTAGCCGGAGATTAGTGTGAAGTCTGTCACAAGTTTGGCAGCATTAGACCCTGGGCACTCCCTGTGTGGGCTACAAGTAGAAGAGAAGTGTTGCCCCCAGAGGCCAGACAAAGCTGTAGCAAAGAGTGTAAAAATATGGGATTTATTGTGCGTGAAGCACACGCTAGAAAATCAAATGGGGGTTTATAGAGGTAAAAGAAGGGGAGAGTCCATTTCAGAAATATTTACTTTTTATTTTAGGAGAATTTTCAATGGGAAATGCAACACAAGTTTGGTAAATAGGATCCCCTTCTGGCAGGAACTGAAGAAAATCCGAGGCTTGAAAAGTGTGAGCATATTCCCCATTGCCCATGGTGGTCTGGGATCACACAATGGAGGCAGCAGCCCTGTGTGAAAGGGCAATGAATTGTGTTTAAAGACCCTGTTCCTTCAGGAACAACACTAATGGGCACTGGTACCATACTGAGAAAGGTTAGAGCAGTCTGAACGCACTGGGTGCATCTACACAAGATGCCTTAATGAGCAGTGGACTAATCCTCCTGCGCATTAGTGCGTCACGGCAAAAGCTGTTCTAATGCACAGTAGAATTAGTCCACGGTGCATTAGTATCACTTAAAAGATGTGTGCCAGTGCTACTCCACGTCAGTGCCAATTACTGTGCTGTAGGTTAGTACCTGTTATTAAAGGTCATTTATACACATACCTTTTTGTCCTGCGATGTGCCAAAGATCTGCTGCTTTGGAGCAGACTCGATTAATCAAGTCTGCTCCGCACACAAACGGATGCAAACTGCGCTGCGCTACGTGCAGTTATATAAGCGGAGAAATGTGGGCCAGCATGCCGAAAATGTGTTTTAGTTCAAAAGCGCGCCACTGCCATTTTCTCAGCACTGACACACATTTCGCCGCATATATGACTGCAAGCAATGCAGCCCTGGGCGCTTTTCAAAGCACCCAGCATTATGCTGGTTGCATGTATAAAAATACCCACAGGTACTAAATTTAATGTATCATCATTACAGTGCATTAATGCACATGTAGACATGCCCACTGATGCCTTGGTCTAAGTTAGTCCCCCCATTAAAAATCATATACCCCCTGAGATTTCAGGTAGTAAGGAGACGATGCTGATGATGGCAAACCGCTACAGTGATGACAGCAACAACAGAAACCTCATCCCTTCCCCACCCCGTATCTCAGAGAAGAGGGGATGCAACTACTGAAGTTGGTGTAACTTGGGCAAAGGCATCAGTGAAGTTAGAAGGCTAGCATCTTCCTCGTTTTTTGGTTTTATTATTCCCTAAATCCATGTTATGTGCTGGTGCGTGTACAGAGCACAGCAGGCCATAAACAGATAAGCCAACCCAACTTTCTTATAGAAGAGACCACTTTCTGGGCAATCCTCATCCATAAGAGAACAGGGTTGTGGATGAGCGGGATAGTTTGCTCCATTTCTAGTGTTCTTCAGGCCTTCACAGCCAGCCTTAATATAGCTCTATTTATGGACATCACTAGCAGTACCTCCCTCACCTTCTCACTCCAGATAGCCTTCACTTCAGTCACCAAATGGTGCTACCGTAGAAGCATGGACTCATAGACTCCTACAAAATGAGGGTTGAAGGGACCTCAGGAGGTCACATCTAGTCCAACCCCCTGCTCAAAGCAGGACCGGCCCCAACTGCATCACCCCAGTCAAGGCTTTGTGTAGCCAAGTCTTAAACACCTCCAGAGATGGAGAACCCACCCTTTCTCTGAGTAGTTTAGACTGGAATCACTATTTACTGCTGTCTTGAATGATCCTGTAGAGATCAAATCTTCTTTCCACATCCCAGTCGTTTGCTTCAATGAGCTGAACTGTCTTGATCGTTTGTACCATGCAAAGTCACCTGAGATTACAGTGCTAGAAGGCACAGCTATTTTCCACTATTTCCCTTGCGTCATTGCCTGCTTCACAATCTGCATCATAAATCAAAACCCTATAACCAGCTTCTCCCTACAGCCAGGTGGACTCATCCCAATTGCCCCGGGCAGGATCCAAAATGATGTCAGAAAAGATATTTTTCATGGTGGGAGGAGACCTGTACTTCTGGGCCACCAAGTACACACTGTTTCTCGGTCCTGTGTCATCTGAAACCCCTGGAAGACAAGCCTGGGATGCATTTTATAACAAAAATGCTAATTTTCTGGGAGCATGACCTGAGAGCATGACCACAGAATATGTTAAATGCTAATAGTGTCACTGTTGAGCTTCTCAGATCAGAGGAGAAGGGAACAGCCTTTCCAAAGCAAGGATATTCACAGTGAGATCCACCTGGCCCTTACCCCTGCTTTGCCCTGGCAAGGTACCACTTATAACAGGGTCTGCCCTGATTGACAGTGTCTCCCTGAGCCAGAAGCAACATGCCCTCACAAAACACCATACCGCTTGCTACAGTGGGATGCTGGGCTCTGTTTACCACCCTCAGTGTGAAGGACTCTCGCTGATGTTAGTTGGAAGTGTGTGTCCATTGCCAAAGAAACTTGGGTTCTCAGTGCCTTAATATTCCTCCTCCCTGCCAGGACGATACAGATCCGTGGTGTTCATTGATACAATTCACCTTGCAGTGAACTGGTGACTCAACGGTGCTCAGCTACTCATGATTTACACTGCCTTCCCCAAACCTAGGACAGAATCTACTTATTCACTCCCAAGCTCCGTGTACTCTCTCCTTTTCCCACTCCCAAACCCTATATCCTGCCTCCTGAAACAGCAGGTGATAAAAGTATAGTAAAGAGTAACTCAGAGGGTGAACTACTTAGCCTTGTCCCTGCTTGTCTTTCACTGATGCACTAAGTCATCCATCATAGGAGCCAACATTTTGGTCTGCATAGGTACAGCCCCTAGCACCAAGGGCCTCAACTCATGACTAGGACTCCTTGGCAAGAAGGGGCCTGTCTACATGAGACCTTTGCCGCACATTAGCCTAACAACACTGCACAGTAGGGTATCACAGCACAAACCGTGCTAATACCTACTGTGCTGTGTTATTAGAGTAATGCACAGTAAGCACTAGGGCTCTGCAAAATATTGACGGGTGTTTCATTTTGAAGCTGTTTCGACTGGTTTTGAGCTCGAAACAGCGGAATCAAAATGAAAGGCTTTGAAACAGCTTCAAAATGAAACGAGGGCACTCAAAATGTTTTGAAAGTTTTGAGGCTGGGCTTGCTTGCAGGTAAAGAGAAAGTAAAGAGAGAGAGGAGGAAGAGGGGGAAGGACTGCTCTCATATTGACTGTGTAGCTGGCCAGTGACTGTGATCCTTCCCTGAGGTCCCTTCCAATCCCAGTGCTCGGGGGGAGGACCAGAAAAACAGCATAAAAAGCAGCATTGGTTGAACTGAGCTTTCTCTGTGCTTTCGCACTTACAAGTGACATGAGTTTTGCTCTGAACACCTTGAGGTGCAGTTTCCCAGAAAGCTCTGAACCTATCTCCTTAAAACGTGACAGGCTTTGTGGCCTCAGCAGGGCTTACCCTTCCTGTTTTCATTTGAATCAGGAAAGAAATGACAAAGTTACAGGCATTTTGTGATTCTCCATTATAGCCTATGGGTGAAAGGTCGAAACACGTCAAAATAACATTGAAACAGCAAAATGAAACACTTCAAAGCGGCAAAACGAAAGTCGAAATGAAACGGTGCTGCTTTGCACAGCCTTAGTAAGCACCACTAAATAACCATGTGCCAGTGCTACTGTGCAGTAACTTTAGGTACTGCCCATTTAGTTAGTACTTTATTGAGTACTAAATAAAATGCACAGTATCTAGGATGCATTAATGAACGTGTAGAAGAGCCCAAGAAGGCACTAGACAGATATCACAATTACATCAGTAATGAAGGATTGATTGTAACAGCCTATAGAAATAACTGTAACATCTGCAAGCTCCTGTAGTCATAGAGGGCTAAGAATAAATGTAACATTTAACTGTTTTAAAGGAGGAGGAAGAGCTACATCAGCTGTCATGAAGTAACCGTATAATGTGAACCTTGAGATACAAATGAGCCAGATCACTGTAACTAATACCGAATAAAATGGGTTAAAACAACAAGTTGTCTTGCTAGAGAAGCCAGCAGATAGCGTAACAGCTTAGATGGGCATTATTTGATACTGATCCTGATACATTATTTAACAATGATGACATTTGTCTATGCCTTTAATATAACTATGTTGTTGTAACCTTAGTTGTGTTTCATTCGGGGCTGAAGCTACAGCAGCTTAGCTTGCTCACACCTCTGTAGGAGAACACAGATGTAACACTCATACAAGAACAATTGATATGTGCTCCTAAGTGGCACCTCCTGTCTCCCTTTAAAGATGTTTAAAGTTACTTGTGTCCACAGCTATAGAAGCATTTGCCCTCATGCAGTAATGACCCTCAAGACCGAGTCATGAACCCCAGTGTGGCAAAAGTGAACAGGGAGTTGTTACCAGTCCGAATAAAAGGGGACTCCTGGACACATTAGAAACACAGACTCATAGACAACGAGGGTTGGAGGGACCTTAGGAGGTCACATCTAGTCCAACCCCCTGCTCCAAGCAGGACCAGCCCCAACTACATCATCCCAGCCAAGGCTTTGTCTACCTGGGCCTTAAAAAACTCCAAGGATGGAGATTGTACCATCACTCTGGGTAACCTGTTCCAGTGTTTTACCATCCTCCTAGTGAGAAAGATTTTCCTAAAATCCAACCTCAACTTCCCTTGCTGCAGCCTGAGCCCATTGCTCCTTGCTCTGTCACCTGCCCCAAATGAGAACAGTCCAGCTCCATCCTTTTTGTATCCCCCCTCCAAGTAGTTGAAGGCTGCTATTCAATCCCCCTCGGTCTTCTCTTCTCCAGACTAAATCAGCCCATTTTCCTCAGTCCTTCCTGATAAGTCATATGCCCCAGCCATCGAACCATTTTCATTGCCCTACACTGGACTGTCTCCAATTTGTCCACATCCTTTCTGTAATGGGGGGCCCACAACTGAACACAGGACTCTAGATGTGGCCTCCCCAGTGCTGAATAGACGGAAATAATCACTTCTCTTGAATCATTTAATAGATTTCTAGGGTTGGAAGGGACCTTGTAGATCGAGTCTGACCCCCTGCTCTAGGCAGGAAAGAGCGCTAACACACCTACCAACGCGTTGCTGCAAGTGTCTTGCTCAGCAGATTTACTCACACTATGGATATGACCAGAAAGATCAAAACAATTAATCCTCAACTCACTAATGTTGTGATCTGTGTTAAGCCACATTTCTTCCAAGATCTCGAGAGCATAACCTTCTCAGGTCATGCTCCTAGAAAAATGGCTCTCAGGTCATGCTCCCAGAAAAGCTGTGAAGGGTTCACGTCATTATAGAATTATAGACTCATTATGATAATCATATTATGAATTATAATTACCAGTCTCTTAATCTCCTTGGATAATAATGACAATGATGATGACAACAATGATGATGACATCAGATATTGCTCTGTTATGCTGTTGTAAATCTGAGTAACTGTTTCTGGAGTGAGGCCATTGATTTAATTCCACTGAGTGGAGTTGCTAAAGAATAATAGTGCAGCTACTGAGAGTGGGATTTAACCCAAATAATCTCTTATGGCCAATTAGTGTTTGCAACAACACAGTCAGTTTGCAATAACACATCAGTATTTACCAACAGGGAGGGAGGTATATTCAATGCCCAGAAGATCCCCCAGTCTAAAACAGTTTACGACAAAAAAATGCAAGCTCCAGATAAATGCAATGGTAAGGGAGGAAGATGATCAGTGAAGGGGTAAGTTGGAAAGGAGCCATGCAAAAATATAGGGAGTGTAGAAAAAAGTGCACCCTGCTGTGTACCTGAGAAGTGTTTTGAGTTACAATGATCCCCTGGAACAAACAGAAGTTGACTTTTGGTGCCAGAGGGAGGGAAATCTAGTTGATGGTTGGGGGCCTGAAGCCAGTTTCCCCTAGCAATGACCCTTCCTCTCTCCCAGCCTGTCCCAGTTTCAGCATGGGAGAGGGGAAAGGGAGCAGAGGGAGCTCATTCTAGGGGATCTCCAGCTGCATTGGTGATGCATAAGGGGTGCACATGGATACATGTGCATCCCCTGAGCATGGCGGTGCATCCCCTGCGAAAAGGCCCCGTTGACATTGCTGGCAGTGCCTGTAGGTGGTCCGGGGGCATGCAGCATTCGTGCCCTCCTGGCACTGAAGGTG